GCTGTGAGAGGGAACTCAGAGCCCCCACCCCCAGCAGAGCTCCTCCTCAGGGACACAAACCTCAGACACACCTGCTTCTAGGAGGAACACACTGCTCTTCATGTGCAAATTGCCAGGCTCAGACATCACCTGGGTAATGAACTATTTGGCCAATGGCTGGAGAAAGGCAAACAGGGAGGGATGTAGAATTCACATCAAATACAGTCAGGGCAGGTCAAGGTCATTAAAATATTGCTGATGCCACCACAGCATAGGAGAGTCTAGAACAACTTCAACTGGAGTAGCTCCCAGCATTTCATATCAATACTCTCATTTAGGAAAGACCAGTAAATACAACTAGTGCAAATCTCAACTTCCTTTAGGGAGTCCAGCATCACTGGATGTATCCTGACAAATTTGTCATTCATTTCCCTCACCTACGACGGGAAAGTTGTTGCAGACTCACATTTACAAGTAATACAGCCTTGAGGTAATCAACATACAGCCATTTCCTTATCTCACCTGCTTCTAATGGCTGGGAGGTTTAGAGGTTAAAGCCTTCTAATGGCTGGGAGGTTTGGAGGTTAAATGGATTAAGCTCCTAAAAGGCAGCTTAGCATAGTAGGTGCTCAATTAATGGTAAGACTGTTACTGACAGAAGGATATACACATGTTAACCCTTATACTTTCAACCCAATGGCTTATTGGCTATCTGCATTTGGGAAGATTTTATGTTGTCAAAAAAGCATTAGAAAACCAACTACTGTGGACATTGCTGCTATAAACACTGGGGTGCACGTACCCCTTCGGATCCCTACATTTGTATCTTTGTGGTAAATACCCAGTAGTGCAATTGCTGGATCATATGGTAGCAATAGCCAAACTGTGGAAAGAGCCAAGATGTCCATCGACAGATGAATGGATAAAGAAGAGGTGGTATATATACACAATGGAATATTATGCAGCCATCAAAAGGCATGAGATCTTGCCATTTGCAACGACGTGGATGGAACTGGAGGGTGTTATGCTGAGTGAAATAAGTCAGTCAGAGAAAGACATGTATCATATGACCTCACTGATATGAGGAATTCTTAATCTCAGGAAACAAACTGAGTGTTGCTGGAGTGGTGGGGGGTGGGAGGGATTGGGTGGCTGGGTGATAGACATTGGGGAGGGTATGTGCTATGGTGAGCACTGTGGATTGTACAAGACTGATGAATCACGGATCTGTACTTCTGAAACAAATAATGCAATATATGTTAAGAAAAAAAAAAAGAAGAAGATAGCAGGAGGGGAAGAATGAAGGGGAGTAAGTCAGAGGGGGAGACGAACCATGAGAGACGATGGACTCTGAAAAACAAACTGAGGGTTCCAGAGGGGAGGGGGGTGGGGGGATGGGTTAGCCTGGTGATGGGTATTAAAGAGGGCACATCCTGCGTGGAGCACTGGGTGTTATGCACAAACAATGAATCATGGAACACTACATCAAAAACTAATGATGTAATGTATGGTGATTAACATAACAATAAAAAATTATTAAAAAAAACAACTACTATATAAATACAAGCACAATTTACTGTTTTGCCAGGGGCCACAGATCTCTGACGTTCTCACAGCCTACAAGGAAAGTAGTAGCCATTTGTTAAATAAATAACTCATTAAGTAAAAAGCAAGTGTTCCCACAAGATGAACTGAAAATCTGCTGGATTTTTCACTGGCTGTCAATGAACATGGGCAGCTACAGATAATTTGGGTGCTGTAGGATCAGAAGATCTTGCATAATGCAAGCGGAGATGAGAATCCAGAGACCACCGGTTTAAACTTTAAGACATAGATAAGAAGGAAACAAAAAAGTTGAATTACAAGGTCATTGTGATCCAGAGCACTAAGCAGTAAAGAAACAAACCAGAGTATTTTCATTTATCTCTAAATGTCATTTTGCCTATGGGGCTGGATAAGGGTAGTTCTAGTAAACTGAATATTCTGGTTAAAAGAAAAGTCACCATGTAGAGTATTTGTGAATTGTCAGCATCCAGAGGCTCAGAAGACAATCAAAAACATTTATCATAAAATGAAACAATCTAATTTCATTTTTCCTTGGATGATTCAGAAAGCACTTCAGGATCACACAGTCTCCTTATGAATTTCTACTGCTATTAGAAAAAATAAATACAACCATGGCAATACCTGTCATTTGTCTTTCCCCAATCTGAGTAAGGAAAAAAAACTGTCTATGCTTTTAACTTTCTGGGAAGCAGTGACTCTTAAGTGGGAGTTAACTTGCTTTGATGGTGTTTCTCAGAGAAGACAGACAAAATAGGCTCAACTTTTGTTAAGTGGGGATTAATTCCCATGAGGAACTGCTCCAGAGAGCCCATGGGGTGGATATCACTTGTAGGAAGGAGAAATGGAGACAGAATTTCTGTACCAGTGGTCTCTAAATCCCAGCTTTCTGTTCTTTCTGACCCTCAGCATCTGCGTTAACCAACCCTTTGTTTCTGCACTTTTTGTTTAAGACTTCATTTATTTATTTTAGAAAGAGATAGAAAGTGGGGGGGTGGGTGCAGAGAGAGAGAGACAAGCAGACTCTGTACTGAGTGTGGAACCTGATGTCAGGCTCAATCTCATGACCCCTGAGCTCAGGATCTGAAACCAAGAGTCAGACGCTTAACGGACTGAGCCACCTGAACAATCCTCCCGCATTTCTAATCACCTCTAGGTTATACCAAGGAGAGATAGAGAAGTCAGGGGTAGAGAAAAAGAGCAAAAGACCAAAGGAGACATCATTATTTTTTTAAAAAGGAGAATCATTATGAGTAGAAGCCCAACAGGAAACAGACATGACAGATGACCACCAAAATGGATGCCAACCAGTGTGTCCCTTTACATCCCACTTGGAAGAAAGACAGCTGACCTATCATCTACAAGAAAATACGATTAACTTTGTTGTGGTCAAAGGTCAAAGATCAGCACTGAAGGGTGTCTGCCACATGTCAAAAACCTGCTTCTCCCACAGTGCATACACCCCAAGACATGATTCCATCCGACCCCAAGTCACTTGCATAGGATGGAAAAAGCTTTATACTGAGAGTCATGAGACCAACTGGCAATGCTGCCACCAACCAGCTCAGCGACATGGGTGGACCCATCTGTCCTCTGTAGACCTCAGCTTCCTTCTTAATGAAGGGGGCAGGGCAGAGGAAAGATTGTGACAGACCATTGCTGATTGCATTCAGTCCAGGTTTATCATGGGTCCATCATGGACGTGGCACCTAAGCTTTCCTCTGGGTCAAGAAGCAAATGCCTCAAGCTTCCAAGACAGGACTAGACTGTACATTGTAAACTACTAGGCTGTGACTGTATAGGAGGAAAAGATGCAAAGCGTGGTCTGGAGCCAAGAAATCTGGACTGAGAACAAAGAGTTCTGACCTCTCACCTCCCTGGCTCTGTGGGCTTTTTTTGGCTTCTGTTTTCTCCTCTGTAAAATGAGGTTATTGGTACAGATAAAGGATTCTTAACTGAGACTCCATGGACATCCTGGGTCTGTGGGTGGGATTCCAGCTGTTGACAAGCTGCTAAAAACTGTCTTCCAGTTCTGTGGGCAGGGGCATGTTTCCTGGGAAGAGATCTAGAGCTTTACTCACTTCTGCAAAAGCACTAAAGTTCAAGAACTAATAATAACTGCTATTATAGATAAAATCTGTGATCCCTTCCAGCTCTGATGTTCAGCAAGTCACATGACAATACTGAAAACTATGGAGATGACAGCACTTTGGGACAAAGCAAAGAGAAACTATTCCATCTGAGTAACAGGTATCCAAACAGCCATCCTGATGATCATCCGGGTTTTGGCACTTGACTGGTGGGTATAGTCTCAGGTCTGGAGCCTCCTAGCTAGATCACTGGGCATCCATCACCAATACTAAACCAGGAGTCACCCATTCTGCTTCCTCCCTTTGCTGGGGATCAGGGGCAGCAGAGGTGGGAGTGAGAAGACAGGGGGATGTGAGCGCTCCCGCTAGGGGTCTGAGTCAAAGCTGTTCTGCTTTGAGCGGCATAAATAATCATCATCCCAGCTCGGACTCCACCAGACTGGACTCAGAGGTCAGGGACATCTGCACAGTGGGTTGAAGCTCATTCCTGCACTTATTCTCACAAAAGAAGCGGCTAGAAACCTATGGGGGAATGCAAATCAGATCACAAGAGGAAAGCTAGGGAGTGCCGTTGTCAAGACTCCGAGAAACACGAACATGGCCTTTTAGATTCCTGCTGTGTTTCTAGGGGCTAGGCTGCCTAAGTTTCTAAACAGCAACGCCTTCCTGGCTGCAGACAGATCACCCCACCCCAGAGCTCACATATTATACAGTATTTATTTTCTAAAATGGTCCATCGTTCCGTGGACTCCCAGGCCCCTCCTCCCAGCAGGCCTCCATGACCACAGTCTGGCCTTCTATGCTTTCCTCTATATCCTGGCTGTTAAGTCAGTTAGAAAGTCAGAGAGCAGAGGGGCCAGAAGCTTCCTTCCCTTGGCAGAAACAGACTCCCTGTTTACAAAGAGCTCTCTGAAAACAGACCAGCAAGAAGAGCGAGGCTGTGGAAGAACTCAACTCCAGAGACAAGCAGAGCTACTCTCCAATCACAGAACTGTTACTTACCACTGTCTGCCTTCGGGATAGAAACCTACTCTCTCTCTGACCTTGAGTTTCTTCACCTGTAAAATGGGGACAGCAGTAACTTCTAGCCCACAGATTCCCCGTGAAGATAAATGAGATAAGTCATCCCTAGCACAGAGGAACACCTTACTAGGTACATCATTTTACTGTTGTCGTCAAAATTATCATTATTATTGCTACTACTAGTGTCCAGGCAGTTACAGTGACAAACAGTGTCTGTGATGTTCCTGACCTAGAAAGAAGGCCTCTCACTGACTCCATGCCTATTGGTTTTCTTCTTCTCGCCTGGCCCCTGGCAGCCCTGCTACCCCACAGGGAGTGCTCAGGACCCCTGACCCTTAGTCTTACCTTCCTTTTGTTGGTGGGATTGACGTAGAGGTAACTGAGGACAGTCTTCAAACCTACTTTGTCATTCAGCTTCTCGTAGGTGGTGCCATAATCCGTTGATCTGCAGGTAAGAGAGAAAGGGAGGGATTGTTTTACCAAATGGGGGACTGTGTTCAGAGGGGAGCCAAGTTCTCCTTCAACATGCACCTTTGTTCCCAAATCACAGGAGTGATTCAGAGATAAAAGGCCCCACTAATTTCGGAAGAGCAATTAGACTAGCACACCTGCTTACTACCTAAGCTCACTCCCCTTTGCTCCCGGCCTTTCCCGGAGCCCTGACTTTTCGCCCTCTGGGAGGCTGTCTGTCTGTGAAGCTGTTGCTGGGGACTGCCTGCCTGAGGTTCAGCCAGGGGCCTCGGCGTGCTGCTGCGGAGGGAGGGACGCGAGTTCCAGCTGGGGGCTGTGCGAGAGGCCAGACTGTCTCCTGAGGTCACCGGAGTCCAGCCAACCTCACGCCACCTCCACTGGGCCCGAGGCTGGGGACCCCTGGGGTGGAAGGAAGCCCCATAGGCAGGAGCTTGGAGGGTCCAGCGGCCGTGTTGGGCCACAGCGGGGAGAGGGTGGGATGCTTTACAGAGGAACCATGGTGTGTCAGGGCCAAAAGCTGGTGCTAGGGGGTGCCGCTAACAGTTCATCATCCCAGTTATCCGGCTGGCTACCTGCTTGTCCTCTGGGCCTAATTTCCAGGGTTCTGACCTTATACCAAAACCACAGGTCAGGACTCAGAGAGCAAAGTCAGGCGAAGCCATAGGCCCCTTCTTCTCCATTCCGCCTTTCCACGGTGCAGGAGGGAGCGCGGTGGCTCTCAGGTAGACCCCAGCCTCGATGCCGCGCTGCGTGCCTCACTCCCCGACCCCACTCCACACCCATCCCCCTCCCTTTTCAAACCAAGAGTATCATCCACTCCACACCCCATCTTTCCCCCCATTGCCTTCTTTGGCTAGATCATGAAACTTCTCCCACCCAGGCTTTAGAAAGTCCAAGGTCAGCTTAGTTTCTCTGTGGTCACCCGACCTCATGGGTGTCTGCATTCTGCCTCAGACCCCAGTGTCCGGCTCTGGCTGCGTGCTCCCCTGGTAACTAAATGCCTGCCTATTCCTACCTTTTCCCAGATTCTTCACCCACCTCCTGCCCAGAATCTGCTCCTGCCCTGGCCCACAGTTTAGTTTTACAAGCCTAGTCGCCAAAGCTTGTAGTGTGTGATGACCTTTAAGAGTTATCCCCCCTCATCTGATCGAGCAAATTCCATGTCCCCGTGCCAGCTGAGCTGCCCACCCTCACCTCTGTGAAGGCTCCACTAGCCCTCTTCCCAGTCACCCTCACCCCTTCTCTTCCCTGAAACAAGCTTCCCCAGCCCACAGTGCACCCAAAGCACACTGCACGTGCCTCCTTTTGGCCCTGTGATATCATCGTGATGAGTTTCTTTAAGTTCTGGTCCCCCTAGCACAACATCAGCTCCCGAAGGACAAGGGAGCTCAGACAACACTACAGTGAGACCAAAGAACATGAACTTTGGGATGTAGCAAAATCTCTATTTCTTTTTTTTTAAGATTTTATTTATTTATTTAACAGAGAGAGAGAGAGAGAGAGAGTGAAAAAGCACAAGCAGGGGGAGGGGCAGAGGGACAGGGAGAAGCAGACTCCCCGCTGAGCAGGGAGCCCGATGAGGGACTCGAGCCCAGAGCTCTGGGATCATGACCTGAGCCGCAGGCAGACACTTACCAACTGTGCCACCCAGGCACCCCACAAAATCTCTATTTCATTGCTAGATCCACAGCTCTCTGGTTGCATGACCACGTGCAAGTTATTTAACCTGCTAGAGCCTCAGGTTTCTTGACTGAAAAAATCAGGGAAATTTAATCTCACAAGGTATTTATTTGTAAGGATGCAAAAATATGACACATGACAAACCTCCTGGCAGGATGTAGGTATAATGAAATGTTAAAAAATATATATACATAAAAATAAAAAGGACATTCGCTTCTCCTTTCCCCAAAATGTGCAAAACCAGTCTGTACACATCGTACACAATCGGCATGTTTACTGAATAAATAAACATCGGTATTTCAAATCTCTCCCTAGGCTACTGGCTCCACATGGTCAGTGTCTATGGTAACTTTTATAACCAGCCCCCCAAAATTGACTTCTTATCTTCAGTCTCCTGTCTACCTTTCAGCACAGGGAATCACTCTCAATCTTGTTTGTTGCCTTTATCTCTGCAACCCAGCTCAGTCTCCCAAGTCTTAATGATTCTATCTCCTAAATAACTTGGACCCCTGGTCTTTCCATCTTCACGCCAATGCTGTGGCTCATGCATCCTTATTTTTTGCAAGAGTCCCCCAACTGGATGCTCTTCTTCCAGTCTTCTCCCCCTCCCGCCATCCTCCATGCTGTCATCAGGCCATATTTCAACCTCTGGGTCTCTCTACCTCATCCCTCGTAGTAATTACCCACTGCCTACACACGATGAGGTTGTAGCTTCCAAGCTTTAGTCTTGTCAAATATGGCTTCAGTCTTCCCCACTAGACTCATTTCCAGCCACCTGTTCACTGCCCCTTTCTCTCCAGCCTCACCGAACTTTCCTGAATGTCCTGTGTTTTCACTGCCCTCCATTTCTACAAGTATCATTCCCTTTGTCTGAACTATCCCTGTGCTATTTCCTCTGCTTGGGAGGAAATTTCTCTCCAACCTTGACACCACCAATATCACCCTCCTGCCAGCTTCCCCACTGGGAAATTAATCATGATTTCCTTTGCATTCCCATATCACCTTGTATAGATTTCTATGTTAGCATTTATCCTATTGTTTCTCATACTATTTTTATTCTGGGATCTCCTCTTTGACTATAGTTCCCTAAGGGCAAGAGCCATTTCTTCTAACAGTCCCAATGCCTTGCACTATGTCTGATGCAAAGCAAGTGCTGAATGTACTGGTTTGTGTATTATTCCACTTTGCTTTGTCTTCATTTGTAAGAATGAACGAATGGTCATTCATGTTCTTGGCTGGTCAACTTCTTGACCAGCTGCTAATGTCTAGTGGCCATTCAACACATAGTCACACCTAGGAAACACACCTCATCTAGTTGGATGCTGGCACACGTGGAAAGGTCTAGCAGCATTTGGTGCCAGGGAAGGATCTGCGGTTCACTCACACTAGCATCAGGGTTAAGTGACCAATCACCCCAAGCTCCTATCCTCTCCAGGGCAGGGAAGGAGAAAGCCTAATCTCTAGAGGCAGTTGCATACTTTTATTAGTCCAAATAAGATGTTTTATAGGATGAATCACTTCTTGGTTCTGCACTGTTGAAGACATAAAGATAGCATGGTGTGGAGAAAGAACATTGAACCTGGAGTCTAGAAATCCAGACTCTGAAACATACACAAAGTGCTACCCTGGACAAGCCAATTCCTTACACCTGTTAAAGAAAAAAAATTATCCTGACATTGTTAAAATGATAAGGCAGACTTCATTCAGGACAAAGGCAATACATATAGAAACCACTGCAATGGGGTTTTCCAATGAGAGAGACTGGGTTCAACTCTGAATACAATGAAAAGCAAGGAATTTCTAGCCAAAGAGAAGGGTGGGGGTGAGCAGATGGAACATTACTAGAGGGTAGAGTAATTCCTTTATAAACTGACCTAACGGGATTCTTACTGAAGGCAGGCCAGGGTGATGAGACATCACCTAGGGGCATGGTAGGGGATGCGGAGATCAGTCAGATATTGAGGGCAGGGGATTCTGGCTAAACTGACTTAGCAGGATTCTTGGTAAAACTGGGCTTTTGAGGACATACCCAAGGGCAGAGCCTACTGGACAAAGAGCTTAGAGGGTCCTGACTAGAGTTCGGCCAAGAAGAGAGTCTGTTAAGCCCTATTCTATCATCAACACAAGAGGCTTGCCTCCCAAAATCATAAGGCCCCGTCTGGACCTTAAATATCCTTATGCCACCAACATGGAGCTAAGCTGTTTTCCAACCAGTGAATCTTCCTCACTCTATACATAGCAAACATCTTACTTTTATAAAGAGCTAAATTCTCAGGGCTCCCTGCACGACTGATGTGACAACAAACTTCCTTCCAGAATCCAAATAAGCCTTATCAAAGGTAGTCTGCTTAGCACCACACATGGTCTCTCTTTCTACAGGCTGCAGTAAAGATTCACAGCAACTCTGCTCTTCCCCAAGAGTGGCTGCTTCTCCCAGAGTAGGGACTTCCCTACAAAGGCTTCTCCACATGTTAGCTTCCTCTGCTCATTCAGGCTGACTGAAAAGGTCTTGCTCGCTGAAGACACCTCACCGAGCCAGGACACCTATGGGACGAAAGGTGCCCTGGACTCTGTCCTTTCCAGCATGGATGCTGCACACCACATTGACCACAGAACTCTGGGGGCCCCCTTTGCCTGGGGTGAGGGGCAGCTTGCAGAGAGGGTTCAGCCCCATTGCCAGAGACAGCTGCACCTGCAGAACTCACTTTTAAAAGAAAGCAGACCATCCACCACCTTGTCACTCCAGACCCCTCCAGTGGGGTCACTTGGAGGAAACAGGTTCCTTTCTCCTATTTCAAAGCAAGCCTCTCAAATCCTGACACTAGGCTCCCAACACCAAAATGTCCAGAAATCCGGGAACATCACACATAATGCATCGAGCACCTGCCATGAGCCTGGCACGAGGCCAGTTACCATTTTGAATCACTCCGAATACACAGCTAACCTGGAAAGCAAGAGGTGAGAGGCGCAAGGCCACAGGCTTTTGGCTTCTGTGCTTTGGCTTAGGTTACCCATGTCCAGCAGGTTATTCCACTATGTTCTCTGGCTCTTTCTTCCTGCCTTTTTAATGCATCATCTCCAGCACACAGAAAAATACGAGATGCCAATCATATGCCCACTACTATATTTAACAGGTATTTGTGTTCATAAACAACACAGAATCTTTTGGAGTTTTTCACATTTACATAAGCCTTATACAGGGTGTTTGTCCTGCAGCTTGCTTATTTTGCCCGACGTTCAAGTTTGGGGATTTATCCATGTTGACACACCTAGCCATAATTCATCCTTTTTTTA